GGTGGAGGCTCCGGCGGTAGAGTGCTGGCGGGTGGAGGTCCGGCGGTGGAGGCTCTGGCGGGTGGAGGTCCGGCGGGTGGAGGCTCCGGTGGGTGGAGGCTGGTGGGCAGGAGCCGGGCCGCAGCGCCCGCGTCCTCCCTCACTCCCCGCGCTTGCTTCTCCGCAGACCCTCCGCGCTGTGGCCCGCGATGGCTCTGCGGTCGCCGGGCGAGGCCGGACCTCCGGACAAGGTGGGCTACCCGCCCGAGAGACTCCAGAGCAGCCCCCAACACCTGGCCCCCTACTACGCGCCCTTCGCACCCTATGGACCCCATGGGACCAGCCTGGCCGCCGCGGGGGAGGATTACCAACCTTTCCCCGTCCCCACCGTGTCTGCGCCCCAGGCCGTGGCCCCCTTCGCGCTGCGGACCGCCGCTCCCTTGCTGAGCCCCGGCCTGGCCCTACCGAGGGAGCCGCTCTACGAGCTGCCCTGGCCCGGCAAGCTGGCACCGTGGTACCCATTCCCCCCCTTCACCAAGGAGCTGCCACCCTTCGTCAGCAGCGGCCGCGACTATCCCGGGGCCACCGGTGAAGACGTGGCCCACGTCGGTCGAGGCGACAGCGGCCAGTGTTATGCACCTGAGGTTTTCCTGCCACCGCCGCCCCCTGTGGGGGCTTCCCTGTTGCCCGAGGGGCTGAAGACCTCCCAGGCACCACCTCACTTCCCCAGCAAGCGGCCCGAGGAGGACCCCAAGCTCCTGAGCCAGGAGAGGACGTCGGCTCCTCGCTACCACTTCACCCAGGAGGACCTGCACTTAGTCCTGTACGGATTCCTTCCCGGCCTGGAGCACTCGCCAGAGCGCCTGCACCATGCAGCTTCCGGCCTCCTGGTCCCCGCGGACAGCGCTGGTAAAGGCAGTCCCCTTCATCCGGGGTTAGGATGGATGGAAGGATGGATGGATGGATGGATGGATGGATGGATGGATGGATGGATGGGGGAATAGAGTGGGGAAGGGGCACTTCAGGGTGAATATGAGTCCGGAAGAGGTGGGGAGCTGCATGTCTTCTATCAGGACTTCTATCAAAGGACAGAGCCTGGGGAGGTCAGGCTCCCATCTGAGCCCTACTTGCTTAATTGCATGACTCCTGAGGTTGGTTGTAGTGAGAGCTAAGGGTGAGGAGAGAAATGTTCCTGCCCTGGACTTGTCCATTGGACTCAGATTCTACCAGGATGTGCCAGGTAGTTAGTTCCATGAGAGCCTCATGCAGGTCATGGAGTCCCAGCTCAGCATCCATCGACCTAGTCAGCATTATCTCTGATTTTCAAGTTCTTTAAATTGCAAATGGGGTTCCTTTCACCACCTTAAAAGGGTTGTTTTGTGCCTCAAAGGAGAAAGTGTATATGTAAAAGGAGCAGGAAAAATATAAGCATCAAACTCAGGAAAATGGTTACCTCTAGGGAGCACGGAGGGAAACGCCTCATGAAAGGGTTTCACGATACTTTGCAACGAAAAACAAGACGTTACCCCTGCCTTTTTCTAGGGTCCGAGTGTCTTCCTCAAGCTCTGGATCAGGATGCACTTCAACTGCCAGAAGGTAGGCAGGAGACCTTGCTTGGAGTTCTTGCCTCAGTCTAATGCAGTGACTGTGCTCATCCACTTCTCTTTTTGGGGTTCCCCTAGGTCTCTGCCTCAGGCAGATGCTGTTTGGAGGTGTCCCGCATTTTGGTGTGTTCTGCTATAGCCTCATTGCCAAAGGTGTCAGGTTTGGACCCTTTCAAGGTAAAGTGGTCAACGCCAGTGAAGTCAAGACCTACGGAGACAATTCTCTGATGTGGGAGGTATGTGTGTTTTTTTGTGGGGAGGTGGCTGCTGGAGGAATATCTTGGCCTGTGCCCCCCACCCCTCCCGGGAGAGGGGACAAGGCAGTAATCTGCTGGCTGTGCTGCCTGCTTTGCAATATAAAGGGGGTGGGGGTAGGGGGGTTCATAATCCATGACCTTGACCAATAACACCTCTGCAGAAATCCCAGGCGCCTTGTGGTGGGTGCCCTAAGTCATTTTAGCCTGTGAACATGAGCCAGGGCATACACATTTAAAGAATTCATACATTGTGCTTATTTATAGACAAAAACAATTGCTTTAAATAGGATCGAGTGATGCTGAGAAGATGCCAAGGGAAATAAAACCAAATTTAAAATGTTTTGTCATTTGTCTATGAAGTTAGCTAAAGACTGAGACTCTTGACTATGTGTGGGGGTTGCAGGCCAGACTGCAGTTTGTCAGAATATATTAGCTACCCACCCTTGACCCTGAATTTCTAGTTCCAGTAATGTCCTCCAAGGAAGTAAGCTGAAATTCTGACTGTGTTGAGCCAGTGCAGTTGCCAAGATCAGAGAAAGAAAGCATGGCTTCATTAATATGCATGAAAACTTGGTTGGGATAAAATACGAAACTAATCGGTTGTTTTGAAGCAGTAGAATTGAGCAGAACCTCCTCTTGTTTCCCTTACCTCTGCGCATGAAATTAACATGTGCTCACTATAGAAACTTGGAAATCAAGAAAGATAAAGTAAGAATCGCCTTCTATCTTTCAGATCTTTGAAGATGGTCGTTTGAGCCACTTTATAGATGGAAAAGGAGGTGCAGGGAACTGGATGTCCTACGTCAACTGTGCCCGGTTCCCCAAGGAGCAGAACCTGGTTGCAGTGCAATGTCAAGGGCAGATATTTTATGAGAGCTGCAAAGAGATCTCCCAGAACCAAGAGCTGCTGGTGTGGTACGGAGACTGCTATGAAAAGTTTCTGGACATTCCCGTGAGCCTTCAGGTGACGGAGCAGGGGAAGCAGGCGCCCGGGCCCTCTGAAGGTGAGTGCACGCCTTCGCCTCGCCAGTGAGGCGCTCCTGGTGGAAGGACACCTTCCTGCAGCTTCTGGGCAACTGGTGGAGCTCCCTCCCCCTTGAAGGCTGGAGCCGAGACTAAACTGAAAGTGTCTCTAACCAGGGGGCCTTACCCCGCTGGAGAACGAGGCCCTCATCTTCCCAAAGCTGCTGACGCTGCTTCTATTCACAAGGATCCCTTTTCTTGTACCCCCTCACCCTCCACCCAGAGAAGACAATAAAAGTGGAATAAATGGACACGACCTCTGCCTTAGGCGAGCCAGTTTCTGAGTCCTGCCTGCTCAGGCTAACGCAGCCTGGGAAGTCCCGCCAGAGCAGTGCTTTCAGATGGTGGGGTGGGAAATCAATGCAGTGGTGGAGTTGTGTGTGAAAGGAAAAAAAGAGAATAAGAATAAAGTAGGATAGAAAATATCGATGTGAATCTCAAGAGCAAGCATTGTTGGTGAAGTTGTTGTTTCACAGGGATGTGTGTGGGGGCTGGGTCTCAGAGAATGGATTTCTCACTCTGGGTCTCAGCCAAGTTTGACCAGCACTGAGCTAGATTCACGCTTCGACTTTAATGTGGCTGTGAATACCTGGGCGGTCTTGGAAGGAGCAGATTCTCGTTCCTGCTTGGGACCTGAGATTCTGCATTTCTATCCAGCTTCCAAGGGATGCTGCTGCTGCTGGCCCTGGACCACATTTTATTGGCAAGGAGCTAGAGGGCCACCAACCCCCTCTCTGGGAGTGAGCCTCTGGAATTTGCATTTTAAAAAGGCTCTCAGAGTGAGCCGTGGGAATCACTGATCTTGTCGGTGGGACAGGACAAGTGCAGATCACTGTACTATGTGTGATCAGGTAGAAGACTGCTTTGTGTTACAGTAAGTGCCGTGAGTAGCAGGTAAAAGCCAATGGGAATAGCATCCATCACACACTGCACTGGTTGCCTGCATGTCTGTCTTAGAGCTAGACCGTCCTTCAGGCCAGGGAGTAACCCTAAGCCTTCGTATCCCCTGCTCCTGGAGCCCCGTGTGGATTCAATGAAGGAGGAAGACACTGACTCCGTTGGGAAAAGCTGCTTAAGGATGAGAGGAAATTGGGGGGCGGGGGGAGGGGCGTGTTAGGCAGGAAGAGAGAGGCAGTCTATCTAGGCTGGGGGATGGTGAAGCCAAAGTCAACCAACCACACATTCTCTGGGGATTAGGGGGTGAATAATGGGAGGTATCTTTCCAGAGTCCAAGTAATGAGGGCCTGTCCGAACTGTTTTGGTGAACTGTCGTCCTCCTACCCTAACATGGAGGTGGGAGTGAGGTGGTGGGATCTCCTGGGACTCAGAGTTGTCACATACTTAGCACCGCGTCGCGCACAGCCTTTTGGTCATTTCCCAAACGATACCAATAGCTTTTACTTATTTTTTTAAACTTATCTTTATTGTTGGAAGTACTAGAGATGTCTCCCTTTTGCCCATTGCTTTTGCCAATTGCTTTTACAACAAAAGTTAAAAAGAGATTTGAGACAAATACATGCTTGATAACTCCCCAAATTTATTCATTCCCCTTTTTAAAAAATCCCTTAACCTGATGTATCGAACTATTCAAATGTTCATAACTGTTGATGTCTCAGTAATGCTGTTCTGGAAATTTATCTTCAGGAAATAGTCCAAAAGGATTTTTTTATCCACAAGGATTTTTGCTACGGCACCACCCGTATTAGTGAAAAGGCACAATGTCAAGTGCTCAGTAGTAGAATACTTAAGTAAATGAAGATGTGTTCACATGGAATAATATGCAGATAGCAGAGATCACGGCATATAAGCAGCAGGGGTGAGGGTTTGATGGTAAGTGTGGGAAACCCAGCCTGCAGCTACCTCTGCTCCAGTTATGAAGCAAATTCTCCGATGCTCCCGGCACTGTTAAAATACTGTGTGTTTTGGACAATGGGGCGGGGAGGGGGGGGGCTTGTAAAGGACTCCATTTGTTGGGAAGAATTATGGATGAATTCATTTGTTTGCTGTTATGAATGTTTTGGACAAGGTTTTCTCCAAGGCTTTTGGTGAGGATGGGTGACAATTTTTCTCTTAAGGTCGTGGGCGCGCTCCTGGGCCCTATGTGGGCGGGTTATTTGAGTATGCAGCCTGCCGAGTGTGTGTTTTGGGGGCTGGAGGTGTGGAATGTGAAAACAACGCTTAATCCTTCCTCTTAATCCTTCCAAAATTTGGTGTGAATGGTGGGGCAAGAAGCATCGGAATCAGGGTTGTGTGAGAGCCCTGGATTAGAAGTAGTTGACCCAGCTGAGGGGAGGAAGAAGGAAAAGGGAATAGAATAAAATCAAGATAAATTTCCAAAGACCTGAGTTAAAGATCACTGGCCCCATCTTTAAGACCCCCTTTTCCCATCCCAGGAAGCAGGAAGGCCAGGTATTTCTGACCAGATTCTAGCTCTGAACAAAAAAAAAACAAAAAAAACGGTTGCAAGCACCGGGGGGTTCTGAGATTTGCACCTCAATGAAAGTGGTAGACTGGGCTGGGCAATGGATTGTCCTGGGGTTGCGGCTGCCTTCCTGGTTATTTACTTAGTGAATGGTTTATTTCCTTAGCCACTTGTTGAACGTGCCTGGGATGCAGTTGTTAACTAACAAAGCCCCCGATGGATAGCTTCCCTGCTGTCCTGATCCTGAAAAGATTTCCATCTCCAGATTCTTGCATAGACTCACTCCTGGCTCTTTCCTCCCTCCCTGGGGCCAGACAATGAGGTCTCAGGGAAGCCACTTCTCCTGGAATCCTGTGCCCCGACAGAGACCCCTGTAGGTGGCCCCTGTCCTCTCCCTTCCTCCCAGCACGTAGACAACCCTCACCTGGCACCTCCTTTGCTAGAATCTGCAGCTCCCTCTCTTAGCTTCTCTCTCCTCCCTCTTCCATTGATAACAACAACTTATCTTTCTCAGTCTTATCACTTAGTGATAGCATCTCTCATGGTGGTAAGAACTCATGATGTGTCAGCATTAAATTAACCATCATGATAACTCTGTGTTAGGGAAGGCAAGGTACTGTCATCCCTCCTTTGTATGTGAAGATTCTAGCTCGGGAATCCTCCCCCAAAATTCAGAGAAGTGAACTATCCGCTAAGGGAGTGCCTAAGACTTTGTAAATGGGGTCAAGTGGAACAGCCTCGGGAGGCCTGGGACGGGAGCTCTGCTGTCCATCATTGTCCTGGGTGAACAGTTGTGAACTTGTAGCTCTGGCTGGTCTGAAAGGGACACAGAGAGTAGACATGTTCTGGTTATATTATTAACCTTGGTACAAGTGCCAGTCAGTGTAAGATTATGGGGTGAGGCATTTAGGAACCAAGTGATAAATTAGTGTTCCATCATGAAGGGAAGTGGTATTAATGAAAACAAAATTATCTAAGTTGGTCCTTGTCCAGGCTTCGTGTTGGGCACACAAGGGTTTATTATTATGTTTACTTTAGTACATGTTTAAAATTGCCAATAGTAAGGGAAAGGCTTTAAAAGCTGCCTTGGAGGAAGTGAGAATGAGGTAAGGTTGCTGACCAAGCCACCGCTCCTGTCCCGTGTTTGACAGAGTCTGCAGAAGGGTACAGATGTGACCGATGTGGAAAGGTGTTTACCTACAGATACTACAGAGACAAGCATCTCAAGTACACCCCCTGCGTGGACCAGGGCGACAGGAAGTTCCCCTGCCCTCAGTGCAAAAGATCCTTTGAGAAACGGGACCGGCTCCGAATCCATATCCTCCACGTTCACGAGAAGCACCGGCCTCACAAGGTGAGAACTTAGTTCTGGTAGCAAATGACCCCACCCACGGCCCAGACTGGCTTTCTGGGTCCCGCCCAGAACCCCCGGACACACCGAAGGCCTCCTGGGTGCGGGGCCTGCTGTCGCTCTGGACCTGTGATTGAGAGGGAAGCAAAGAAAGATCATTATGTTTCAACTTGGTGATCCTTTAAAATTTTTACTTCCGATTTTATTTTATTTTTTCCTTTTTGTTTTTCCCTTTTTCCAATTATTTTTTAACATAAAAATATATAGTGCATACTTGGTAAATACAATATGGAGAAAAAAACAAGACAGAAGCCACCTGATATGCTATGGCCCAAAGTTAAGACATCTTAGGTATAATTCTTTTCAATATGTGTTTGTATTTTTAATATACTTAGATCATACTGAAGATTATGAGGTTAATTTTCTGACCTAAGATATCACAAACTCATTTGTAAATATAATGGCTATATCAGTACATCAGATGGTTGCACCATGATTTATTTAACCAATCCCCTGTTTTGCGCATGTCTCGCCAATGATGATGCAGTGAACAATATTACATAGAAGTAGTTATTTCTGTTATCCATTTATGATTATTTTTGTAATTGGTTGATCCCCAGTGTGTGTGTGTGTGTGGGGGGGGGGATGTGTGCAGGAGGCAACAGATAGATGATGTTCCTCTCTCATCCATGTTTCTACCTATCCTTCTCCCTTCCTCTCGCTCTAAAAATCATCACAAACATTTTTTAAAAAGAAAGTGGTGATTTGACCTTCAAAAGAGTTGTTTTTCTGGCAGACTTAAGGAATAATAACGTGTCATGCTTGGTGATCCCAAGGCTTCTTTCATTGTTTTCTCTTTGCAAGTTCTCCTTTACCATGACTATAAATATTGCTTAACAGTGGGTTTCAAACCTGTAGCCACGAATTCTGTCCAGAGCTCAAGAGGCACATATGTAGCTACTGTCCCAACATCTAACCTGAATTTCCCATTGCACTTTGCCTTCATGTTTGGAGTTTTGAGGTTTTTCCTGATTTTTATTGCTTAACATTTTTATTCTCCTTTAGTTTTCTTTATTTCATTTACTTTAGCTTGAGTAGTACTTCACTTTTAAAATGATAAAGTATATTTAATTTCCATTGAAGCCCAAAAGAAAACACTTAATTTAACTTCAATAGAAGAAAAAGCTCCAGTGAAGATAAATGATTTTTAACAAAAATAATCGGTTTCGAAAAGAGAAAAAAAATTGACAAAAATAACAGAAGATGTGGGTTTACAACCAACAATGAAAAGCCCTGCATTACCATCCTCCTTCCAGCCTTTAAGCCTAAATGCACCCCCTTTTCAGATAATTTGTCGAGCAAACTTCAAGTGAAACATAGATTAAAAATGTCAGGAAATCCATGTAGTCTAGGGGTGGGGAACGTCCAGCCCGAGGGCCATATAAGGCCCATGAAATGACTTGGTATAACCCTGCCAAAGCTTTAGGGGTCAGTTAATTAAATGTTTGGCTAAATATGGCAGGCTAATTTCTTTTTAATATATTTTATTGATTTCAGAGAGGAAGAGAGAGAGAGAGAGATAGAAACATCAATCAATGATGAGAGAGAATCACTGATTGGCTGCTTCCTACACGCCCCCTACTGGGGATCGAGCCTGCAACCAGGGACCCTTCAGTCCTTAGACCGACGTTCTATCCACTGAGCCAAACCAGCCAGGGCAAGCAGGCTGATTTCTAAGTTGATAATTTTGTGTGGTCCTCTTAATGATGTTATAAATATCCAAATCACTCTTGGCAGAAAAAAGCTTCCCCACCCTTGCAGTGTTGTCCATAACGATGAGTACCAAGAGTTCATACAAGTCCAGAAGGTAGGTTCTAGCCTTCTGAAATACCTGACCCATGGAGACAGGGCTTTTTTTTTTTTTTTTCTTCAGAAAGCTTTGTTCCAATAAATTGTGCAAATTTATACAAGGCTTTAACTTTACTTCATTTTTTACTTCCTTGTAAGCTTTTATTTTTGCCAGCATTTCTAATTTCAGGACACAAATTTAGTTTCTTAATTGTGTAACTTGTATGATGACATTCACATTCTTCCTGGAGCTTATTCTGATTTGAACCAGTGATTTCTGAACCTGTGAACTGTCATTTGGATTTTTTTTTTAACACCTTCTTAAATTCTACTAATTGTTCTATTCCACCCTTCCTCTTTCTTGATTTCTTTTTTGTATCACTGGTGTATATCTTCAAGTAATTGCATTAAAAGATATATAGTGAAAAGTTTTCTGAGTCCTTCTTTGAGGATATTTTATTCACATATCTCTTTGATGGTTTGCCTGGATACAGAATTATAGGTAGAAATAATTCTCCCTCAGAATATTCAAAGCATCGCTCCATTTTCTTCTATCATTTGGAGCCAATCTGGTTCTTTTGTGTGTGTTTTTTAATTAATCTATTTATTTGCTTTTGTTAATTCTCACCCATCTATAGTTTTCCATTGATTTCTTTTTTTTTTTAATATTTTTTTTTGATTTTTTTACAGAGAGGAAGGGAGAGGGATAGAGAGTTAGAAACATCAGTGAGAGAGAAACATCGATCAGCTGCCTCCTGCACACTCCCTACTGGGGATGTGCCCGCAACCAAGGTACATGCCCTTGACGGGAATCGAACCTGGGACCCTTGAGTCCGCAGGTCGACGCTCTATCCACTGAGCCAAACCGGCCAGGGCAATCTGGTTCTTGTTTCTTTGTAAATAACCACTTTTCTTTATGGAAATTTTGCTTTATCTTTGGAGTTCTGAAATTTTAATAGAATGTGTCAAAATTGGATGTATTTTTATTTTCTTTCTCTTGCTTTGCACACATTGGAATACAAGATACTCTTTCCATCTGAAGGCACAAATCCTAAGCTGAAAGGAATGATCTTGTTCTTTCTTTGGTTATTATCTGTCTTCTAGGCCTTCGTTCTCTCCTGGAACTCCTTTTGGCCAGGTGTTAAGTTCAATCTACCTCCCTGTGCTTAACTTAATTTTTTTATTATTATTTTATTTTATTTTTTGCTTAGCTTTCTTAGAAAGTTCCCCAATCTTATTTTCCAAATCATGTATTTAGTCTTCAGCAGTCAGCTGGGTCTATTCAGTTATTCAGCACTTTTATGTTGTTGTTTGTTTTCAATTTCCAAGAACAGTTTCTTTTTCTAATCGCTTTCCTTTTATAATTTGTTCTGTTTGCAATATTATCTCAAACATCTTTTTTTTGTGCTTCAGTAACAATAATATATGCCCATTATTTAAACTTTAAGCACTACAAAAAAATGAGTGTATTAAGCATATAGTAGGCACTCCATAAATACTTGCTGCATTAATTGCACAGTGATTACCCTGTAAGGAAAACAGAGTAGGAATCTGAGTTTAACTGACACACTGGTCACACAGCTGCATGTTGACAGGGCAGGACTAATTCAGGCCTCTATTAAACACCACGATCCTATTAAATTCCCTCATTTCACACCTGAAGAAACTGACATCCAAAGATGTTAGATGACATTAGCACTGGGCAGGCTCTGGACCAGAGCCCATGCTCCGGGATTCCTCAGTGTCGTGCCAGGAGGTCTATCTACTACCAATAGACCCTCGGCGTGGGCCTGCTTGATTCTCTGATAACACACAGAATAAATACGATAGTTAACATCATGGGGAAATGAACTTGTTAGGGGAAGATGTGATTCCAACTCTGTTCTTTTTTGCCTTAGTGTTCTACATGTGGGAAATCTTTCTCTCAGTCTTCCAGCCTAAACAAGCACATGAGAGTTCACTCTGGAGACAGACCCTACCAGTGTGTGTACTGTACGAAGGTAGGTGAACCTCCTGGAAGGGATCTGCCTTGAGCTCTGTTTGGGTGTCCGTGGACAGGAACTTGAAGCATAAAGCCTGGCTTACCCCCCACTTCTGCCCCCAACCCTGCTTGCATTTGCTTGTGATGGTCAGATACAATGACCCACT